AGCTTCCCCTGCTGCGACAGGCGTAGGACTGCCTAGGTTGCCTAGTCTAGTCGCTGCACCGGCTCCGTCCGCGGCCTCCGCCACTGCGTCGCTGTCCTTCACTCTCGACTCTGGTGCTTCTGCCTGCTTCTTCCGCGACCGTTCCACGCTCACGCCGCTTGCTGCACCTGCTGTTGTCTCTCTCGCTGACCCCTCTGCGGGTCCGGTCGTCGCGCGCAGTTCTACGTCCCTTCCCTGTCCGGCAGTTCCCTCGGGCTCCCTTACAGGCCTCCACGTTCCCTCGTTCTCCAGGAACCTGGTTGGTGTCGGCTGTCTCCAGGACCTCGGCGTCACCACCACGTTCCCCGGGCACGAGCGGTTCGCTGTCTGTTCTGAGGCTGTCTCAGGTTCCCCCCTTGCGACGTTCCCCCGGGACCCGGTGTCCGGTCTGTTTACCCTACACACCGCTTCCCCCCCGGTTGGTGCGTCCTCCCAGGTCGCTGCAGCTTGCTCGTGTCGGTCCCTCACTCACCCCTCCCTTCTCTGGCACCACCGCTTAGGTCACCCTGCTCTCCCGCGTCTGCGTCACATGTCCCAGCACGGTCTTGTCTTAGGTCTCCCCGCGTCGCTCCCTGCCCTTCCTCCCTCGACTGCGCCACCGTGCACGCCTTGCGTCGAGGGTCGGCTCCGCCGTGCTCCTCACTCCTCCTCGCTGCGTCCTGCTACTGCCCCCCTTCAGACCCTGCACTTGGACGTTTGGGGCCCTGCCCCCGTCCCCGGACCGCGCGGTGAGCGCTACTTCCTTGTGCTCGTTGACGACTACACGCGCTACACCACGGTGTTTCCCCTGGAGCGGAAGGCCGACGTGCCCGACGTTCTTCTCCCGTGGGTTGTAGCTGCGCGTCTCCACCGCGGTCTCCCCGTGTTGTGTCTCCACTCCGACCGTGGCGGCGAGTTCGCCTCTGGTCGGCTTGGACAGTTCTGTCGTGCGGAGGGCATCACCCAGTCGTACACGTTGCCGGACTCGCCACAGCAGAATGGGGTTGCTGAGCGCCGCATCGGCTTGGTCATGGAGGTCGCCCGTACCTCCATGATCCATGCCGATGCCCCCCATTTTCTGTGGCCGTTCGCTGTTCGCTACGCGGCTCACCAGCTTAACCTGTGGCCACGCTCCCAGCGGCCGCAGGTTTCGCCGACCCTCCTTTGGACCGGGTCCCCCGGTGACGCGTCTGCGTTCCACGTCTGGGGCTGCCTTGCTCACGTTCGTGCCTCTGGCACGGACAAGCTCACTGCCCGCACTGTCCCCTGTGTCTTCCTCGGTTTCCCCCTGGACTCGTCTGACTGGCTTTTCTACCACCCGCCGTCTCACCGCTTCCTCCACTCTCGTGACATCACCTTTGACGAGTCCGTCTCCTTCTACCGCCGCTTCCCTCACCGAGGTCTCCCAGTTGCCCCCCCCCCTTTCCTTGCTCCCTCTCCCACGGTAGCCCCTGCCCCTCTCCCGCCTCGTCCTGCCCCGTCTGGTGTCTCCCACGTCACTCCCCTCCCGTCGGTTGTCCCCGTTGAGGAGTCTGCTGACTCTGGTGGTACCCCCGGTCCGTCCTTGCCGCGTCCCCCTTCCCCAGTGCCTCCGCCCCCACTGTCGCAGTCGCCGACCCCGCTGCCGCCGCCGTCGCCGTCGCCGTCGCCGTCGCCGCCGCAGCCGTCGCCGCTGTCGCCGCCACTGCCGCCGCTGCTCTCGGCCCCTGGGGGTGCTGGTGTGGAGGAGGGTGTTCGTCCTGCGGCTTCTGGGGGTGCCGCTGGTGTTGGAGGGGGTTCTCACTCTTGGGGTGTTGGTTCTGGGGGTGCTGCTGTTGAGTGTTCTGCCGACGGTCGTTCTGCCTCTGCTGGTCCGAGAGTTCCGGCCCAGCCGTCGTCGCCGCCACAGCAGCCGTCGCCGCCGGTTTCCGCTCTCCGCCTGCTCGGCCTTCCCTCCCCGGACCGCGCGCCGGTGTCTCCCCCACCGCCTCCTGACCTCCCTGTCTACGGTCCTGTGTTCCCGCCGCCAGACTCGTCTCCGGCCCGTCTTCCTCCTCGTTCCTCTCCTGTGTCTCCTCCGCTGTCCCCTGACCCTACCCCTTCGTCTCACGTTTGGGCTCGCCGTCCCTCCCGTGCTCGTCCCGTCTCTCCTGTCCTGCCCACCCACCCTATGTTGCTCCGTTCCCACTCGTCTCGTCCTCCCCTCCTCCCGTCCCCTCCTCCCTCGTCCCTTGCTGTTGCACCTCCTCCGTTCTCTGACTACCTCCGTGCTGCTCGTCCCCTTGTCCCTCGGGTCCTTGCCTCTCTTGTTACCGACCCTGCTGTTCCTGTCTCGCGCCTTGACGCGCTTGTCGCTGCTGTCGCTGACTTCGCTTCTACCCGCCGCCTTGACTACGCTACCGCTCTGGTCTCTGACCCTGCCCGTCCTCTGTCCGTCGGGGGTGCTCCTGCCCTTGGCAGTGACGTCCTAGAGGACAGGCAGCACGAGCTGGCTTTCCTTTCCGAGGCTGCTCCCCATCTCTGCTCCATGCTGTTAGTCCCTGAGGGTGACCCAGACGCCTTCGACATCCCGACCCCTCGCACCTACGCTGAGGCCACCTCGGGACCTTGGGCCTCTCAGTGGATAGCTGCCATGGAGCAGGAGATGGCATCTTGGAGATCCACCGGCACTTACGTCGACGCAGTTCCCCCGCCTGGGGTGAACGTAGTCGATGGTCGGTGGCTCTTCAAGGTGAAGCGCCCCCCTGGAGAGCCGCCTGTCTTCAAGGCGCGCTACGTGGCCAGAGGTTTCAGTCAGCGCGAGGGGGTTGACTTCTTCCAGACCTTCGCCCCGACCCCGAAGATGACCACTCTTCGGGCGCTGCTACACGTAGCAGCACAGCGTGACTACGAGCTTCACTCTCTCGACTTCTCTACTGCCTTTCTTCAGGGCAGCCTACACGAGCAGGTCTACCTGCGCCGACCACAGGGCTTCACTGGTACCTTCCCTCCTGGGACCCAGTGGCTTCTCAGGCGCCCGGTCTACGGCCTGCGTCAGGCTCCCCGCGAGTGGCACGACACGCTACGTGCCACGTTAGCAGACCTGCAGTTCTTTCCGTCCTCTGCTGACCCTTCACTGTTTGTGCGTTCCGGCCAGACTCCGTTCTACATCCTTGTCTACGTAGACGACCTGGTCTTCGCTACTCCTGACAGGGACGCACTGGCCTCTGTGAAGGCTGAGCTGCTGAAGAGACACACCTGCACTGACCTTGGAGAGCTGCGTCGCTATCTTGGCCTGCAGATCTCTAGGGACAGAGCAGCACGCACCATCACTCTGACCCAGTCACACTTGGTGCGTCAGGTCCTTCAGAGGTTCGGTCTTCAGTTCTCCTCCGCACAGCCCACACCTCTACCCGTAGACCATGGGCTCTCTGCTCCCGTTCCTGAGGAGCCAGTAGAGCCCAGTGGCCCCTACGCAGAGCTGGTGGGTTGCCTCATGTACCTGATGACTTGCACTCGCCCAGATCTCGCATACCCTCTCAGCATCCTGGCTCGCTTTGTGGCTACAGGCAGACACCGACCTCAGCACTGGTCTGCCGCTAAGAGGGTTTTGCGTTATCTTGCTAGTACATCAGGCATGGGGTTAGTGCTAGGAGGACGCAGGCCAGTGGTCCTTACTGGGCACACAGACGCTTCTTGGGCAGACGACGCTGAGACGCTCAGGTCGTCGCAGGGCTACTGTTTCAGCCTTGGTTCGGGTGCTATCTCTTGGAGATCCACTCGCTCGTCGTCTGTGGCTCAGTCTAGCTGTGAGGCTGAGATCTACGCTGGTGCCATGGCGGCACAGGAGCTCCGCTGGCTGACCTTCTTGCTCACAGACTTAGGTGAGCGGCCTAGCTCTGCCCCGGTCCTGTACGCTGACAACAGGGCCATGATACTCCTGTGTCAGGAGCCTCGGCTTGAGGGCAGAGCGAAGCATATCCAGCTGCGGTACTTCCTCCTGCGCGAGCTACAGCAGCGCCACCAGGCCCGCGTAGTTCACTTGGCCTCAGGTGCCAACACAGCTGATATCTTTACTAAGGCGCTTGCGCCTAAAGATCATCAGCGGCACTGTGTACAGCTTGGTCTTGTTCCTATAGCTGCTCCCCTGTTAGGATCCTGATTGTGTACTCTCTATTATATATGCTTGTCAGACTGGCCTTGTGGCCTTACCTCCAGTGGCTGGACTAGTAGTGCCACCCTGGCTTGCTTCAGTTTTGGTTGTATTCTTGCTGACTGGTCTCCAGACCCCTGCCTCAGTGGTTGGACTAGTAGTGCCGCCCTGAGCTGTTTGCTTCTTGTTTAGTTTCACCCCTTGTCTAGCCTAGGGGGTGTGTCAACTTATACATATTATCTATGTAGAAGTTATAGGCTAGACTGAGGTATGCTTCTAGTGAGTACAACCAACTAGTATTTGTTCTAGGTTTCCACCTCTAGTAATCATTCGTTTCTACGTTAACAGGTAGGCCATGTAGAGATAACTGTGCATGTTAACTGCAATATTAAAGTGTACGCTCAAGTTTACTGCAATCAGTGTGCGTGAAAAACACCCTGAACAAACAGGATGCGGAAATTTTTAGGCTGCAGAATCAGAGTCGAAAAAGAAGTCACCCTTAACGTCAGGGTGTTTTGCTAGGCAAACCCTGATTCCAAAGTGTGCTCTAAAACCAATTTTGGGCCCTGGATACGCCCTTACCCCTAGCGGGGCACCAACTTTTGCGGAACTAGGCTCGTCCTTGCCTTAGGGCTTGTTTCTAGTTAGTTTCATCCCAAGTCGGTGTCATCCGAGATAGTTGGAAACCAATCGCATGCTCTAAATTTTCAGCAAAACGCACGCAATTCGTTTTCCAACTTTCTCGGTTGACACCAACTTGGGATGACACCAATTAGAAACACGCCTGTTCCCTTCCACTTCCACAGTACAAATGTGATGCCAATTCGTACTAGAAAGTAAGGCAACAGCAGCAGCGGAAGTATGAGACTCCTAGTAGACGGTGGGCAAAATGTGATAGGAAATAGGTACATCGGCATATAAGCATGATATATTATATATATTTCATGATGAGATCCAAGCGAGCATCAACTGTAATCAGATTCCTCGCTGAAGGTGTCCGTAGCCTCTGTTGAATCCCCAATCCGTCAGGATTTGAGTCGACTGAGAGCCACGCCGATCGTTCGCGTTTCTCGATTCCTCCGAGTGTGAGAGTCACTCCGAATCTTCCCTACTTCCTCTGCATGACGCACTCGTTCTTCAGCAAGTCCCAGTTCTGCTGGATCAGAAACCGCATGCCATTCATCCCGACCAGATTGTACTCGTAAGTCTTGCCGCGATTGTCGCGACCCGTTTTCGTGGAGCCGTAACCCCAGCCGCACTTGTCCGCGTTCTCCTCGCCTTCGTCGTCAAACCATCCGCTTTGAACGTCGGGGTCGGTCGCGGCCTCTGCGACTTCATGCGCGATGACCGAAAGCATCGCATCGATCGCCGGCTTCCCGTTGGGGGAAGTGCTACGAACCCCGCAGCTACCCGGGCACTGCCCGGGATGACCCACATACGAGTATACCACCGCGTCCGACTCCATATATCCCATGGTGTGCCATCCGCAGTATTGGGTACAGAAACCTGGGTTGATAACATCCTTGCTGGTGAGAAGCAAGTATATGCCCTGGGGGTCGTACGGAAATTCATTTCCGTCGCCAATCTTGCTTGAAACAACTGCGAAAGTAAGGAGAGAGTTTGGGATAAGGTGAAATGGCAGGAACAGTCGGAAATGAATCGATTGGTGGAAGCTATTCCACCTGGGTGCTTGAAGACTCAAGCGGCGGACGTAAACCCCGACTGCAGAGCGTCGCGGCGAAAGGCAGTTGAGCTGTACGTACCTTCCCAAACGGTTCCGTCTTCAAAACTGTCTCCCGCCGAGTAATCATCGTAGGCAATTCCGGCCAGTCGCACCTGCGGAAAAAAGGCAAGGGGAAGCGAGGGGACATGCTTTGAGAAATGCTTCGGGGAAATCTATGAAAGGCCCTTTCGTTAGGCTGAACTGATCTCGCATGTCGTTTCGCAATCATGACAAACAGGCATCAGCAGCCCGCGACGCGCGTACCAGTGTTGGCTCATGGTTTCCGTTCAACCCCTGGATCCTTGGATGTACGCACCTTCCTGCTGACGTTCTTCATCTCGCCATCCACGTCCTGAGAGTATGGCCTGTTGATCGCCCACCAGAGCTTCACCTTGGCCTCCGCTGGAGCCCCCTGCCAGCTCGAGTCCCCACTCAGCGACCGAATGAAATTCCCAATCACACCCTGTCCCGATCCAGCCGGCCAGCTGCCGTAGTAGATTATATACACGTTCACGGACGGGTTTCCGGTCATCACGGGACCGCCCCAGTACTTAATCGGAATCTCTTGGCCCTGGGCCGAGGCGCTGCCCTCCCACTGTTCGGTCAGCTGGCGCTGACGACGGAATTCGCCGTGCGCCTGTTGCGTGCGAGTGACTCGTTTGGGTGCACCGGCGGATGCGAGGGGGAGGTGCGAGAAACAGGCGAGGGAGAGGAGAACGAGCACCAGAAACATTCGTTGTTTGAGCTTCGCCATGGCGAAAGGTTGATTGAAAGATAACCGTTGGATTCACAAAAGTATGATGTTGATGTGTAAACCAATATTGCCTACAGAAACCTAGATGACTGCGTAATCCAGAGAAACTACGAAAGAGGAGATGATCGGGTACGATAGGAATGCTCGTGACAGTTGAACAGACAAGTTTGTAGTCGATTCATTGGAGCTCGGAGCTGCAGCTGCCTCATGGACTCGCTTCGCTAGGGCCGCAGCACCAAGCGCGCTGCGGGATTGAGACGTCTTTGTTACTACTAGTCCGCGTTTCTCCATTCTTCCCGTCTTCTTCAAGGCAGACTAAAGAATGCCATGGAAGTACCATTACCTGAGCTCTAGCTCCTGCTCACCTGCACTCAGCTCCCCACAACTGAGCATTCCTAGTCAAACTGAGCCCAGCGTGGGGTCCGACCCGCCCTAGTCAGACTGGGTCCTGGTCGTTTCACACGTTTAAGAAAGGTTCCTCTGTTCTAAATGCAGTTGCAACCAGGTTAAACACGGTACCAAGCAAGGTCCGGTACAGTGAATTTGTGTTTCCTCTACGTGTCTGGGTGAAGGGAGGCTCCCAGTCCAATAATTTCGCGGCTCCATCTCCTACAGGGAAGTTGAGGTTGAGGGCGTGTCCAACGCGTACGTTTACAATGGTGTTCGGTGGTCCAACGTGGTGATGCGCGAAAACCTATCTCGACCGCGATTTCTCCTACTAAACCGTGATCAGTGTACAGGAATCGTACGTGCTAGACACGCCCTGAATCTCCAACCATATTTGAATGTATAGATTAAAGCGCGTGACCCAAGAACAATCAAGACAATGTCTTTGAATCTTGGTCAGAGAGGCGAAATTCGCACGGGGGCTGCGAAACGAAAAATGGGTTTGGGGAAGCGCGAAAGTCACGGACCTCACCTGCGGGAGATGGGCGACGTTTTGGCGACGAGTGGAAACAGGGAGGGTGAGAAACAGAGCTAGGGCGCGTACAATATCGAGAAAAACTGACCCTAATATGTCACTAGGACTTTCGGGCTGAAGATGATCGGGCAAACGCACACGTGAGTCACCTGAAACACGAGACAGAATATTGCGGAAACACGCCCGGCCTGGCCCCAACTGAACCCACTGGTAACTATGTTACAACGCCAAATCTACAACATGAACCCTATGTAATTGTGTAGCTAAAGTATGCAAAAAACAAACAATGAGCTCACACAAAGGCCATGCGTCACAACAGGAATGAAGTACATAGGATAGATGCACTATGGCTGTTTCGTTTCAAACAGAGTATGTCATAACAAAGTTTTTTTTTTATTAACACGGCCCTAAAAGGTGTGATGGTGCGAGGGAGAGCGCGGTAGGGGTGGGCAGAGTGGAAGTTGATGCGTGCAGTGCCCTGCGCGTGTCATGACCCACTGTTGGGAGAGCAAGGCGAGGGGGTGGCAGACGGCAAAGAAAGGGGGTAGTGAGTGAATGAGGGGTGAGCAGAGGGGACCAGGAGGATGAGCTGAGGCCATGGAGTGGGTGAGCTGAGGCCAAGGAGAGGGGGAGCGGGAGCTGAGAGGCAAGAGAGCGGGAGCTGAGAGGCAAGAGTCAGGCCCCACCACCAGAACCTCACTCCCGCCTTGTAAATCAGGATGACAGGGAGCAGGGGAGCAGGGGGATAAACGGAGCAAGGGGGTGGAATGAAAACAAGGGGAGACAATGGGAGCAGTGGAATGGAATGAGAGGGAAGGGGGGGGGGAGGGGGGGGAGCGCGGATGGGAGAGGAGGACAGGGGGAAAGAGAGAGGAGGATAGGGGGAGAGGGAGAGGAGGATAGGGGGAAAGGGAGAGGAGGACAGGGGGAAAGGGAGAGGAGGATAGGGGGAAAGGGAGAGGAGGACAGGGGGAAAGGGAGAGGAGGACAGGGGGAAAGGAAGAGGAGGACAGGGGGAAAGGGAGAGGAGGACAGGGGGAAAGGGAGAGGAGGACAGGGGGAAAGGGAGAGGAGGACAGGGGGAAAGGGAGAGGAGGACAGGGGGAAAGGGAGAGGAGGATAGGGGGAAAGGGAGAGGAGGATAGGGGGAAAGGAGAGGAGGATAGGGGGAAAGGAGAGGAGGATAGGGGGAAAGGGAGAGGAGGATAGGGGGAAAGGAGAAGGAGGATAGGGGGAAAGAGAGGGGGAGCAGAGGGGAAAGAGAGGGGGAGCAGAGGGGAAAGAGAGGGGGAGCAGAGGGGAAAGAGAGGGGGAGCAGAGGGGAAAGAGAGGGGGAGCAGAGGGGAAAGAGAGGGGGAGCAGAGGGGAAAGAGAGGGGGAGCAGACGGGAAAGAGAGGGGGAGCAGACGGGAATGTGAAGGGAAACTGGGGGAAAGGAGACGGAAAACTGGGGGAAATGAGAGGGGGAACGGAGAGGAAGGACTGGACAGGAGGAGAGGGGGGATCGAAGACGGGTAGAGCGGGAGGCAAGAAGAGGATGAGCCAAGGCCGAAGAGAGGGGGATCTGAGGTAAAGGAGAGGGAGGAGGGGAGGGGAAAGAGAGGTGGTGGAAATAGAGAGGAGACGAGGGGAAAATGGAGAGGAAGAGATGCGGAAAACAAACAGGGAAAGAGGGGAAGAGGGGAAAACAGGGAGGAGAAGATGGAGCTGGAGGGGAAAAGATTTGGGGGGTGTGGGAAACGAGGGGGAGCAGAGCTGAAGGGAAGGAGAGGAGGAACTGAGGGGAATGAGATGGGGGAACTGAGGGGAATGAGATGGGGGAACTGAGGGGAATGAGATGGGGGAACTGAGGGGAATGAGATGGGGAACTGAGGGGGATGAGAGGGGGAAAGGAGGGGAAGACAGAGAGGAGGAGGGGAAAACGGGTGTGGGCAGCGTGGGAAATGGGGAGGAAGGGAGGGGAAACATAGACGCGGAGAGCGTGATGCGGAGGGGAGGAGAGGGAGGGAGCAGAGAGGAGGAGAATGGGATATGGGGAGGTGGGGAGGGAGTAACGGACAGCAGGAGAGGGGGAAACGGAGAAGGATAGAGCGGCAAGGGAGACGGGCGTCGAAGGGTAGGGCTGCAGCTGCGACCTGGCAAAGGGAGATGGTCGCGGAGGGGAAGGGTGAAGGCGGGGAGGGCTGCACGTGCGACGAGGAGGACGGAGGAGGTTGACGAGGGGGAAGGGACTTGGGCGATGAGGGGATGGGAGATGGACCTTTGAGGTGAATCCCCGCTGAGTGGCAAGGGGAAAGGCGAGGAGTGGCTCACTGGATATTCGTTGAGACACGAATGGTCCGGCAGGTGCTTGAAATTCCCCAGGTCTTTCGGTTTCCGTCGGTAATGCCCGGAGAAAGCGTGAGATAGCTGCGTGCAAATGCGCCTGGCATTAGTGCTCGAAAATGCCTCAGCGCTTGTGTGCTAGGGCGAGATAACTACGTGCCTTGTATGCGTCGCCAATAAGGCAAAAAATGAGACTGCATTGGCTGTTGTTAGTGAGTTAGGTCGTCTTTCTCCTACGCTACGGCTGTCGTTGTCACGAGTCCCAAGTAAGTCCTAAGCACTTTGAGTCTTGATCCACCCTCCCGTCGTTGCTGGTTGCAGGTGCGACGCTCGCAGTCGCACCCCAGCGCTGGTTGGGGGCTCGACCAATCACTTTCTCGTCGTTCAATGTTTACCTCTCGTCGCTGAATTTCAGGGTAACATTGTGTAGTCAGGTTGGGTTTCGCGAGCGACCAAGAATCAAATACTTTGAGTCTTGATCGTTCTTGGGTCACGCGCTTTAAGCATACGCATAGTGTAAGGAATTTTCATTTCTCATCTCTACTACTTATCACATACACTCAACCAAACGAGAACCCTAGGTTCGATCCGAACCTTCGACACTGTTCAAGACCTTTGGACCAAACCATTAGGAGTTCTCCAGGCCTCTCCGCGACACCTCAAGGCCCTTCAATCCTCTTTCTAAACCTTCTCATCTTACAGCTAAGATACCTCAAGTGTTCCTACATATTGCCTCGCCACTCATTGTATCCTCGTCAAAACCCGCATCCCAAATCACGGGCCGCGGCCGCACCACATATGAAAGTCGCATTATTATAGGGGTCTGTAGCGGCGTCTCTCGTCACTATGGGGTGTGGGGTGTTTCAAATTTATTGTGCTCGGCACTTGGGGACTTGATGTGCATTGCGTATATCAGTTGTCAATTTTACCAGATTTTCATCTGACAGCCAGCCAGATTATTACCAGAATCAGCCGAGGCCTAATCGGAACCGTCGAATTATTTGGTGGCGGTCAATATTCCGAGCGTTTTACCACTCATCACCCATATATTGTTTGTGGAAAAAAAACTATCGCTCACGACTTCCCAAGGCGTTTCGCAAAACCCGAGGCCCAAGTTCATACGCAGTGTGTATGAACGATTTGGGATTCGGGTTTTAAGGGTGGGCGCCATTTGGCTCAATGTGTCCCTCGTGTCAAACATGTGTATGTGTCATGTTTGTATAGACTGTATAGGGTCGCCTCTTAGAGGGTACAATTCATAGGTATATCTGTCTGTACACTCTTACTAGCTATCATTTCAATCTTTCAACATGATATGGTATCACGCGTAGGTAGGATCCCCCCCACCTACCGCTTCCGCTCACCCTGTCGCGCCCCTCTCAGGCCCCCTAGCGCCCCTCCTGGGCCCCGTCGCGCTCCTCCCAGGCCCCGTCGCGCCCCTCCTAGGGCTTCGTAGCGCCCCTCCTGGGCCTCGTCGCGCCCCTCCTGGGCTTCGTAGCGCCTCTCCTGGGCCCCGTCGCGCCCCTCCCAGGCCCCGTCGCGCCCCTCCCAGGCCCCCTAGCGCCCCTCCTGGGCCCCGTCGCGCTCCTCCCAGGCCCCGTAGCGCCCCTCCTGGGCCCCGTAGAACCCCTCCCAGGCCCCGTCGCGCCCCTCCCAGGCCCCGTCGCGCCCCTCCCACGCCCCCCTAGCGCCCCTCCTGGGCCCCGTCGTGCTCCTCCCAGGCCCCGTAGCGCCCCTCCTGGGCCCCGTAGCGCCCCTCCTGGGCCCCGTCGCGCCCCTCCTGGGCCCCGTAGCGCCCCTCCTGGGCCTCGTCGCGCTCCTCCCAGGCCCCGTCGCGCCCCTCCTGGGCTCCGTAGCGCCCCTACTGGGCCCCGTCGCGCCCCTCCTGGGCCCCTTAGCGCCCCTCCTGGGCCTCGTCGCGCCCCTCCTGGGCTTCGTAGCGCCCCTCCTGGGCCCCTGTAGCGCCTCTCCTGGGCCCCCCCCCGTCGTACCCCTCCTGGGTCCCGTAGCGCCCCTCCTGGGCCGCGTAGTACCCCACACGGTCCCGTCGCCCCTGCCCGACCCCGTCGCAGCCGCCCGGCCCTGTCGCGCCCGCCCGGCGCCGTC